CGCTCCGAGCCCGGCTGGGGAGGACCCCTTTGTGTTTTACGCGCTCGGGGAGCGGCGTGGGCTTCCTCAGCTCGGCCACCGCCTCCGAGGCAACTGCCCCGCATCGCGCTCTCCGCGTTGGCAGGGCAGCCCCGCTGCAAAGCCGGGATCTGGCTGCCGCTCCCTCTCGGTCCGGACGGAGCAGACTCTGGCCCTGCAGCCCGGAACCCTTGCTCCTCGGTGGGCATGCAGCAGGAGCAGGCGGTCCCAGCGGCGAGCCACTCTGTGCTCCGGGATGATCAAGGTAATGCATCAGGACAGAGAAGTGATTTTTTTAATAGTGACTGAGTTACCGAACAAAAATTGAGAGGCGCCTGTGAATGCAACTTATACGAGTGCTGTGAACGAGACTTGAGAGTGCATAGAAAGGCTGAAGATGACTTTTTGTTTGTTTATTCTTAGTTTTGCTAATTTCATCTTTCTTGTCCTTTAGCCCATGTTCATATTTCAGTTTCTATTCTCCGTAAGATGCGTTTTTCTTAGGGTTTTTTGACCTTTTCCATACCAGAGGAGAGAACACAGGTTGACTCTAGGTAATGGCTTAAATTATGTTCTAAAAGGACATCAAGGAATTAATGTCATACAGTTCCAGAGATGAGTATCAGACTCTTATTCTATTTTTTTTTTTGATTTAAGGTCGATGACCTTTTTTCTTTTTTGAGGGGAAAGAAGTATGAGTAAAAATACATGATTTTCTGTAATGCCTTCTTTGGTCCTTGACTATACTTAGGAAAACTAAGCAGTTAATGGAAAGTCAGCATAGGACTTAAATATCTTTTTTCCACCCTTTGGTATGTATTTGCTGTCAGTGACACATTTTAAGCAACACTATGTGTTTTAATATGACTTTCTATTTTCCTCCACAGGCACTGAAAAAGAAAACATCAAGATGAGTAAAAAGCCTCCAAATCGTCCTGGAATCACTTTTGAGATTGGTGCTCGTTTGGAGGCACTGGACTATTTACAGAAATGGTATGGAAGACATTGTGCGGTATTTGCCAAGAGTATAATTATTTTATGTTTATTGTATGTTTTGATGTCTAATTATGAAACTTAGTGCACCTATTAATTTACTGTTTCACGTGTGAACTTTTCAAATTTCCACATAAGTTTGTTAAAACTATTGGCTTTTAGGAAAATATTTTTTCTTCAGAAATCAAACGAAACTTTTGTACAAGTTTTTAGTCTGTTTTCTTCTAGTTTCTTGTGTAGCTGTGGTAAGCGAAGAGCATTTCCAGAGTAGTGTGGAGCGCAGTGTCATGTGTGAGGTGATCAGTGTGTTATGTGGCACACTTCTGCCCCGACAGGTTCTTTTGTTTTAGTTTGAAGGCACACTAGCGAATGTGTTCTGTGTTCAGTTATTACACTTCATAGGTTCACAAAACTGATTTTAAAAAACCCCACGTCCACATTTTAAAAAATTCCACATGAACCTGATCCTTAGTCGGAGTTCATGGAATGGGTGAGTACAGTTGTATTTGTATCATACAGTTGGAGGAATGAAGTGATTAAAACCCTGGCTCTGCATCACCCAGTCTTACCTTGAATAAGAGTCAACACTGCAAAATGGAAATTTGTGGGTACAGGGACCATGCTACTCAGCATATGTGTTATGAGAGTTGTTGTTCTTTTGAAATAAATTCTTAGTCACTATTTTATTAATGCAAATGGGCTAATTTCACAGTGTTTGCTGGCCATAGCGTTTCAGTTTGAAAAATATCTGCTTTTATTAAAGCTCCTACCCACAAGCCTTTTCTTAGCTGCTCTCTGATTTAGTAGGGCTAGGAAATGTAAAGGCCTATACCTGCTTTTCTCTTTCATTCCTGGAGAAGAAAGCAGTCAGGTATTTACATGAACATGCTAACTCCCCAGTTATGTGATAGAGAAACCTGTGTACTATTTACATGTTTATCCCAGTAGTTACATGCTCTATATAAAAAGTTGAGTTAAACTTTTTTACCTGTGGAGCTTTGATTTTTAAGTGTAGCAAAAGCGTGTGTTTTAATAAACGGGCTCTAAAGGAACATGCGGTTTACAGAACAGTCCTTGTTCTTGTTTGTTGCTGTAGAGTGGGTTTACAGCATGCCGGTTCCATAGGTGAATGCCAAGCTCACGGAACTGAATAGTGCTATAAAAATGAAATAATGTTAATATAACTTGTTACAGCATCTCCTGTTACTACAGTTAATTGGTTGATGTAGCTAGATAACAAAAGTTAATATGTAAAAATAGCTTCAGCTTCATTGTATCAAAAAAGGATCATTGACTATCCCCTGTATAGTTTGTTTCGGATCTGCCCAGCCTTTGCACAGGGAAGGGTCCCATGTTCTGGAGTCCTTGTCTAGACTTAGCCTTGTCAGGCATGAGCCCTATCACAAGCTCTGCAACTGAATTGCTTGCTGTTTTCAGGCAGAATAGAATTTATTCTGAACTTTCTAGGAATTGATTCATCACCTGAACCACCAGGTAGAACAGGTCAAGTTTATCTGTGCATAAACTTCTGTGGTGCCATATACAGGAGCAGAAAGTTAATACTAAAATTCTGCAGTTAAAGCATCACTGAAGACAGGACATTTTTTCAAATTAATTAATAGTCATGCACGTAACCAAAGAGCTTATTAGAGAAGGCCTACTGTCATGTTCAGGGTGACTTGGGCTCGAGTAATAGTCCATGGGACTCTCAAATTTTTTTTCTTAGCTCCCTGTTACATAAGAGGGTGGTGGATGTTTTTGAAATTCTTTCTATATATAAGCTGTCTGCATTCCCCTTGCCTGGATGCATAAATAGAACATACTTCAAAGAAAATAAAAGTTGCTGAACTCACATGAAACCTCTTTATATTTTTTAAGAAAACCAAAGTTGAAGAGCAGTAGTGTTGCTTAGCTCAGTCTTTCTACAAGCAATAAACTGAGAACACTTGTGGAAAAAATAGCCTTTGAAAGGTTTTTAATTTTTTTCTCTATTATTTTGAAAGCCTGCTGTTATTTATACGTCCAGTGTTCATGACCAGTTAAAGTCTTTAATCAAGAAAGACTTCTAGAGGATGGGGAAAAAAATACAGTAAAGTTCTGCTATATTTTTGCTTTCTGACGCACTTTTGCAAGTCTTAAATTTTCATCCATGTAGTAGTTGCTGAAATTCATCTCATGGAATCTGGTGTTCTGTTTGAGTTCCAGAAACTTTGGATAGGGTGTTGTGTACCTTGACTATTGGTTAAAACCCCCATACTTCTGAATGAGGAAGCGTTTGCAGACGGCGTTTGGGTCACTGGTATCGTTTGGCATGTATGATTACTGATCAGCAAAGACAGACTGTCAATGAACGGGTTTATTTTTGCATTATTGCGGAGGTAACTGCAATTGCTTATCTCTCAAGTGAAAAATGGTATCCTGTTGTAGGGGAGGGCATTTTACAGAATGAATTTGTACAACTTGTTAAATTCAAATTCACTTCAGCAAGCTGAAATGCAACTCTAATAAAAAAAATCAATGTACTCATCTGTCAGCAAAGAGTAAGCAAGATGAGATTGGCTGATAATAGATAATTATTAAATATATATGAGATGATCAGGGGCCTGGAGTTCATGACCTGTTAAGGTAGTGGGAGGAAACTGGATGTGTTCAGCTTGGAAGGCTGCTAGTGGGTCACCTGAAGCCTTCTCCAATACCTACAGGGATGGCATCAAGAAAACTTAGCCAAGCTCTTCACAGTAGTGTGTGGTTGAAGGACAAGAAACAGCAGGCACAAGTTGAAACAAGAGAGATTCAGTTTAGGTACAAGGAGAATCTTTTGACCCCATGGGACAGTCAAGCACTGGATCAGATTGTCCAGAAAGTTTGTGGAGTCTTCACCATTGGAGGTTTTCAGGACTGGGCTGGATAAACTCTGGAACACCTGCTCTGATCCCATAGCTGGCCCTGCTTTGGGTGGGAGGTTGGACTAGAGGCTTACTGAGGTCCCTTCCAACTGGAATTATCCCATCATCTCATACAAAAAATTGTGCACACCTCCCATGCGTCTGTCACTGACAGAACAAATGAAATGGCAGTAAAGCACAAGTGTGTGCCCATGTGTAAGACTGGTTCTTGAGCTGTTAGCTCCCGCAAGTAGGATACAGTCTCTGCAAAGTTGATGTATTTACAGATGCATCTCTTCTTTTTGTTCCTGTTTTCGTATGTCTTTTGTGGCTCTAGCTCTCTCCTGGTTGTCCCGTTAGTGCCAGGTGCTGCTTTGGGGGGGGGGGAGGAAACAACCCTGTTTTTTTTCCTGCGACCATAGTCTTTGTTAATCTGCTTGATCTAATCTACAAGTTAGATAATGAAGTAAGTACAGATAGGTGGCCCTTGGTGCAGTTCTGGAATGGAAATAGCTCACTAAAATAAGTTATCAGAACAGCAGCACTTCAATTAGGTGTATTTGATCAACTGGATTGATTCCCACCCCCCAGTATGGAGGAAGGTTTTTACCCTGTAAGACTTTGGGAAACCTTGTTTTGTACAGTCCTTGCTTTGTATTTCAGTTGAGTGGGTTGCTTGACTGCCAGGTGGTTGAAAAGACTGTGGAGACTCTTGCTTTATATTGATCTAATACAATATATATAATAACATGTGGGGAGATAGAAAGGGGTTTTTGCAGATTCTGCTGATATCATAAGACTATTTGTGGGCAAATCGGAATGGGAGGTATTTGGTTTTACATCCTTTATAAGTTTGAAGGAAAGACTTTTGTTTTTAATACCATTATAGTGAAGGCAGGAAGTAAGTGTCTGTTTCTAGACCTTCTGGGTTCAAACTTGGGCAAATTTACTAATGTTTTGGCATCCATTTTTACAGTTTGAAATAACTGTTGTCCCACCTAACACGGTAACCCACCAATTGTTAGTTGCTTTTGATGAAGTGTTGAAGATGATGAGGTAAAAGGAAAAGTACTCTCCATGTGTGTTGAGTGCGTTAGAGAAAACGGGTGTTATCTGTTTACACTGTCAAGAAATGAAAACTGGACGTTTCCCATTAATTTTCCCTCATGAGCATTGGAACATTATTGTTGTCTTACAACATTTATACTGAGAGGCACTGGTCAGACACGTTAAATTTTGAAGCTTTGCAAAACTATTGTGTAATTCTAACGGGTTACATTCACTGGAACCTGAGAATGGAGAGCATGCAATATGTAAACTGGGCAGACACCATCAGCTAACAATAGTTTTCCTGTTCTCTCATTTAAAAAAAAAAAAAAAACAAAAAAACCCTGAAATTTGGATGAGCGTTTATTTGGAATTACTAAATACTATTTCCAGCATGCTATTAAAAAAAACACACCCAAAACACAGGTTATTGTTTCTTCCCATGAAAAGAACATTTTCATTATTTAACTGTCTACTTGTAGATTTGCAATGGAAGGAATTTGAACGTAAGATTTCTGATGTCAGTGAGATGTTACCATCTTCATCTTTTTTCTACAGAATAAATATAAACAATCCTTTTGGCCATAGTAAAAGCTTTCCTGTATGCATTGTTACTAGAATTCTTTAAGAAGGCGGTTTAAAAGATGTCTGTTGCCATTTTATCTTTTCTTAGAAGGAAATGTGTACTTGCCTTCGAAATATTTGTAATCTCATAATTTATGAAACATGTTGTTTTCAGTAAAAATACACATACTGTAACACCAGAAAAATGTTTCTGTGCAGTGTAAAACTTGCAATAGTGAATTCTGCAATTCGTTTTTTCTGCTCTTTCCCACTGTGGGATCGGTATTGTGAAATATTACTGTTTGTACATATTTGTGGCACATTGTGTGGCTAAATTTAGTGGATATTGAGTATAATATCTTGTTCTAAATCCATACACAATTATTTTTGGGTTGCCTAATCAATCCTATATAGCTTGGGTGGGTCAGAGATTTGCTAAATCTTCCATCTCTGAGGACTGGGGCTGAATACAGGGTTTTGCTTTGTGTCTTGCAACCACTGTCTTAACATGCATTGAAGAAACATGAATAATTGGAATAAAGTCACTGTGCAATGACATGGTTATTGTAAGATTTAACTTTGCAAACCCAGTACCGTGGACTTAGATTCAGAGCTGATAATGACATTTTAAAAAGACTTGAGTAGCAGAAATTGTGTTTATAGAAGAGAAATTAATCACTGAAAACACCTGGTGCTGCATTTCCTCTAAGTGATTCCTAATGAGACTTAATATTTTGTTTATCTTCTTTTATTAACTGATGCAGCTTTGCTCTTTTGTGGTGTGGCTTTGCGCCTCCTCCCTCTCCTCCCCTCCCCATATATATATATATATTAACGTCTTGATTCCTGGTGTGCTAAATTTTTCTTATCTATCTTAATTTTTATATAATTGTCTCTAAGCTGTACTCTGCATTTTACTTCCCTCCTCTTACTCTGTTTTCTCTTTCCAGGACACCAGTTTATCCCTTCTACTCATAGTTGTTGTCTTCTACACATGGTGCTTAGAATGGTGACTTTAGTGGGAAAGCTACCAACCACAACAATAAAAATCTAGCAAGGGAACTGCTGTAGGATAGTGCCATAATGGGAACACAGTATTTGCATTGTAGATGCATAGGAAAAGAGAATTTTCTATTTTGGCTGGTGGTCCCTGAATTTTGTACAATAACCATAGCTTTGCATCACTACCTGACTGGCAGGGGATAAACTTGCAATTTCCAGCTCCAGTGAGAGAGACCATCATCGTTCTTGTCTTCTGATTCCCTGCTGCAGCTTCAGTCTTGTGCACAGGCTCTCCTTTTCGATGCTACAAAGTGAACTTCCTGTCCTCTTCTTTTTCTGGTGTTCCTCCATTCTCTCCTTTGAATGCTTTCTGTGTCATCCTTTACTTCTACATTTGTGCTAGTAACAGTAAATTTACTTTTTCTTTTTCCTTTGCTGCTCTGCTTGCTTATTCTGACATTTGCTGGTTAGTTATAAGAAGTCTGAAGTTGGGGCACTCAGGAAGATAAAAAGAAATTTTGTAATACAATTCCTAGATGTAGCAGCATGTAGACTTAAAGCACCATCGGAGGCAGGGTTTAGGAAAACCATCTATTGGCTGACTTATTTTCTTGAAGTTTTGTTCAAAGTTAAACCAGAATCCTAACGATGGGATTCAGATTTTGACCTGTGAGTTTTACTTTCTGTTTTGATCCAATATATCATCAGCTTTGCTGTTTTTATTAGGTGGTTGTTGTCAGTATGTTTGAGAAGGGGAAAGGAGGTTGATCTTGTTGCTCTTCTGAAAGAAGTCCCATGGGGTTCCTCTACCTTGAAAAAGATTTTGTTAGTAGGGTGGCACATGAGAGTATCCAGTTTGAGGCTAAGACACTGTGTGTTTTTTTTTTTTTTAAAGTTCAGTCAGAAGAAGTTGGAAACTTCAAAGAGTGACTATGAAAATATTTTGCACTTCTGAAATGAATGGATGAGACACGTGCAGTGGGAGGTTGGACTGTCTTTGTGTTCTGATTTAAGGGTGAAATGTGACTGAAGTGGTTGCTGGGATAACCTAGAAAATCAGAGAGCACTTTTGTCGTTCAGCAACTCCGAAGATATTTAGATGTTGGGAAGCTGTGAACACCACTGCAGCTGAAGAAGTAGGTCTGGAATAATGAAGGAGGAAATTGAGATCGACACCTTTAGTTTTAATGCCCTGTTCTAGTCACGAGGAAACAAGGAAAGGCTGCACTTCCTGAGAACTTTATATTTTAATCAGAACGCAGTGTTAAAGATTCCTTTATCGGCACCATTAGTGTTTTGCAGAGAAAGTACTCACAATTGAAAATGTTGACAGGGTTCCTGTATGTCCATTGTCTTTCTAGCTGATGAAATTTTGAAGTAGGACTGGATATTGGATGCTTGAACTGGTGGAGAAAGTGTGAAAAAAAGTTTGTGCCTTGCACCCCTACTACAGTTTTGTGAAATACTTGACCAGTGCAACAGAAATAATAAGACTGAATAATAATTGCTGAAGGTAGAGAAATTTCTTTAATGTAAAACTGCATCTATGCCACACCCAAAATTAGGTGCCTAATACTTGATCTGGTTGCAGCTGAGTCCTGATTAGTTATACTGAGCGCGTACACTATTTGCTGAGGGTAAAACCCATGTGTTAATTAAGACTGACATATTTATTTTGGTGAATGTGGAGTTACAGAGAGGTGACTGCTGAAAAATAGTTACTATGAATCAAATTTAGTGGCAGTGAAATCATGGAAGCTGATCTGTAAATTAGTAAGAGACTTAAGTAAGAATGTTCTGTTGACTTCTGGGTTTGATTAATTGCTTGGATTTGTCTGGAATCATTTAATATGATAAAAGGAATGAATGTACTCCTAAACTATTTTACATCCTTCCCATCTCCAAGTAAACAAAAACTCTTAAAAGGATTTTGCTTTAAACAAACACAGGTTTTAACTGATAAGCACAAACTTCTAATGCTAATTTTAGCCAGTGTTCATCTCGGAGTTTGAAGTTCAAATTTGTGTGCAATCATCTGACTAGTTTGAGTTATCTACACACAACAGTGATACATCATCAGCTTCATACTAAGGTTTAATCCTACTATCAATTTAGTAACTTCACCTTTTTTGAACTTGGAAGATTTCTCAGGACAAGTTGTTAGTATAACTTTCTGAATGGTCATGTCAGCACTGTTGTGTGCATGTTGTGGCCTAACCTTATCTGGCAATTAAGTACCACACAGTTGCTCATTCACGTCCTCCCCCCTCCCCTCCAAGTGCAGGAGGAGAGTTGGAGGAAAAGACGAGGAAAACTAAGAAAGTTGAGATAAGAATTATTAAATAATCTAAATGAAAATTATAGTGATACTAATACTGTTGTTTAAATAATTGAAAACAGAACATGTGATACAATTGCTTACCACCTGCTGACCTACACGAGCATCCTGAGTTTGAGAGCCAGAAAGCGGTTGTGCTAAGTGCTAACAAAAGAGCTAATGACCTCTCAAGTTAGCCCAAAGCCTTAACGACCTCCACCAGGCCACTTCCCCCCTCAGAACTGCCTGTGTGCACTGAGCCTGGCTTATGATGGAATGAAACAACTCTCTTGCCTGCTCTGGGCCACTCGTCAGCAGTGTGGAGTGAAGGAGCTCGGTCCTGCCTGGAACCAGCACAATGCAAAAAAAAACCCAAACCACTCTAACCTTTGAAAAAGCTTTAGGATTTATCAATTTATGTTTATCATTCAAGGTACCCATCTCGTATTGAGAAGATAGATTATGAAGAGGGGAAGATGTTGGTCCATTTTGAACGTTGGAGCCATCGCTATGATGAGTGGATTTACTGGGACAGCAATAGGTTACGACCCTTGGAGCGACCAGCCTTAAGGAAAGAAGGGCTGAAGGATGATGAAGAGTTTGTGGTAAGTGCCACATTTATTTTGCCTTTGGCTATTTTTTGTATACTGTCCTACTTTTTTTCTACATTAAATATCTCTAACACGTAGTGTTTAATGATATTTAGGAAAAAGTTTCAATTATTAAAGTATTGATGACTAAATTTGTATAAAATAGGATTTTAAACCTGGAGAAGAAGTCCTGGCTCGTTGGACAGACTGTCGATATTATCCTGCAAAGATTGAAGCCATTAATAAGGAGGGTATGTATGCAGGTGTGGTCTGTTGGTAAGGACTGTTTGCATATGCTGTGCTGTAGCTTGCCTAAAACATTGACCTGTGTATAAAGTTTTCTTCACTGCCCCAATATTAAGTGAAAAATGTGTCTATTCTATCAAATTTACTGAGAGGTTAATTGTTTATCTGTGTGAAATGCAAAAATAGGAGTTTCTACTGGAAGACAAAATGCTTGATGTTGCTTCAGTGATGAGAAGAACATCCTATGCACAGTGTTACAAATATTCTGTACTATTGTTGATTTGGGCTAATGACATTTAAACTTCCGTCATTGTTTTAGAAATGGTAGCTTTCTTTAAAGTTCTGTTTATTGAAGAAAAACAATGGAAATGAGGAAATAAAGGAACCTTAGATGCAGTACTTCACAATGGGGCGGTATTTCTAATGAACATAAGTTGAAGTTTCTACCATAGTTTAAAGCAAATTAAGTTTTGGTTGTGAATTGAATCATTTCCCTATTGTGGCAACTTAAATATTACATAAATCTTTCAATGAATTATGAGCAAAAGTGATGTGCTGGAAATTGTCCAAGGGGATAAAGAGCAATGATATAAAAGCAGGATTTTGTCAAGGCTGCCACTTAGTTCTGTCATAATTCTCAGTCTTGACTGTAGGTAACACCTGGTTACTTTGGTCATGTAGCCTATAAAACATTTTGCTGAAGCTTTCATAGTAGCAAGGTGTGTTTGTTTCTTAACTAGTCATAGTGATTACATCAATCCTCTTCTAGGAACGTTCACAGTACAGTTCTATGATGGTGTTATTCGGTGTCTTAAGAGGATGCATATCAAATCTATGCCAGAGGATGCAAAAGGGCAGGTAAGAATACTTTAGGTATCTTGTTAGGTTTAATACGGATTTTTTTTAATATCTTGAGATAATAAAAATGTCACCTAGCACAACTAATTTTAGATTAGTCTTTATTTTCAATCCTGCACTACCTTGCATCACCAGTTTTATGAATGATGCCCAGAGTGTGCTGCTCAAGTAGTCTTGGCTCTGTCTTAAACATCTAGCTGCCATACACTCTGGTGCCAACTAATCTGTTCCCAGAGATTTGACTTGCAGGATTTGCAAACCAGAGGCATGCAGAGACTTTTTCCTCTGGTGTCCTTTCAGGAAAAAGCTTGAGCATGTCAGTAGTCTCTGCTGCTGAATGTTTTATTTTTTCCTTCCACCCCGTCTCTTTTTGTTTGCTACCATGGTAGCTTTTTGCCTATGTGTTGTTACTAACATGACTGTTCTGTGGGGGTTTTCTCCCCTGTATCAGAACTTTGGGGATTCAGATAAATATTTTTATCTCTGATAATGTCCAATTGCTGTTAAAGAAAAGATGGTCAATACAAGTTGAGGGAGGCTGTGAAACAGAGGACATGATTTAGTCAATAGGCACACCTTTACTTGCCAAAGAAAAACAACATTAAACTGTTACGTGCTTTCAGTGGAAACGCCGTTGCGTTTCTCTCTCATGGTAACTGTGTTCTCATAGTTAATGAGAAATTTGCCCACTGAAACTATTGGAGACTCAGAGACAAGAAATGTGAAAAAAAGATTCTGATTTGCTCCCAATCTTCTTCAGAGTACTCTTAACTTTAAAACACAATTCAGGTATTTCATAATTACTGTGATGACAAGGGCAGATGGATAAGCAAATTGGCTTGAAAACATGTCAGTATCTTGCTCTCCAGGTTAGAGGTAGCTGCATACTAGGGTTGATCATCTGTGCAAAGAACACTGGAGCTTTGTGCAGGCAACACTGCACTGTTTAAACTGTGTTTCCTTAAAGAGATTAAACTGCAATCCACAGTCACGCTAACATTGGCTTCTTGCTGCAGTCTTGCAATGACTTAATTGAACCAGTATATGGTATTTCGAACGAGTCTTTCAGTGTGGCAGGAAACCAGAGGATTTCATTTTACTTAATCAGAAAGAAGGAAAACTTGGGTAATGTGGTTGTGACTGAACTGAAATAGCCCTTCTGTGACGATGAAGTCACTCTGTCCTGTCTTTTTTCAGGGGAGCTATGTTGTGACTAATCTTGAGTTACTAGTTTTAGGCCACAAGTATTTTCAGCTTTAAAAAAAAAAAAAAAAAATCCATCTCTCAGCAGTCATGTTGATGTCCAGACATGCTGGGTGGCAGTCCAGCTCACCTATTACTTCTAACACCTTAACTTGCAACTACTGAGAAAAATTAGTCTTGTGCATCTCAGGGGCTGAATATAGGTGGCTTCAATGAAGTCAAATTTGCACTTTGAGATGGATTTAGAATTTTAAGTTGTCTTGCAGCAAGAAAATCGCCCATTATGTTTTCAGTAATGCTAATTGATACTAGTCTTAGCAATTAATTTTGCAAAATTAGAGATAGGCATGAAGTTCTGTAGCTTTCACAGACCAAGGTAATTTTTCTCTGCAACATCTCCTACATCATTATGCTATGTTAACATGTTATTCAAAATATTTTTGTGGTATTTAAGAATAAAAATGTGATCTAAGATTAGTTTGAAAATCAATTGTGTGAAACTGAGCTTTCTCCAAGCCTAGAACTCAAATGGAAGTTTTTGCATGATTTGCTTTATATGAAGACATTGTCCAAAAATTATGTAAAGCTTAAAAAAATGCCAGAAACATAACTTGATGTGAAAAATAATGGAGTTAGTAGATCCAACACTTCATGCTTAACTAAACCTATGACTTTGGGATTTTTTTTGTTTCCAAAGAAAAAAAAAATATGTTTTGAGGAGGGTGAACTTAAGATACTTCAAGTTCTGGTTCATTAGCAAATTTAACAATTGCCAGACCTGTTTGGAAGGTGTGTGCTAAGCATGCAGAATTTGAATTACATGGAGAAAGAGGGATATAGACTAGTTAATTCTTTGATTTGAGCTTAACATGTCTGGAGATTGTAAACACTGTGACACTCAAACTCTGTTTTCGAGTTGCAGCAGCAGTGTGTGTTACTAAGACTCAGCTGCAAGGGTGGAAAGGCAAAATTTTTAGAGTGGAAAATATTTGTGCGGCTCAATGCAATAAGACTATAGGTTAGGTTGCTCTGCAGATAAGCGCAAATTAATTGACATCATACAGAAATGTGGCTAATGTAGAACAGAGAACTTAAAACAGGGGCATATTGAGACTGCCCTTGTGAGAGCACATATGAAGTATTCGGATAACTTACTTTTTCTGTTTCATGTTTTTTGTTTTATCTTCGATGTAATTAGGCGCGCGAGAGGGAGCAGATAGCGCCGGAGCTGAGATTAGTGACGGAAATCGAACCAAAAGAAGTGAGTTTTGAGGAGGGTTTTGAAGGAGAGGGAGGGGACTTGGCACACAGGAAGAGGAAGCTGAGGAAAAAGCCTGGATTTGCAATTGGGACAGAAGAAAAAAGGATGTGACAGGAGACAATGTGAGCCAAGATGTAGTTGGGGCAGACTGTTTAGAATTGAAAGGTGAGGGTAAAGAATCCAGGCTTGATGTGGAATCAGCCAGTCAACAGATTGATGATGCTTTATGTGTATGTATGTATGAATGTGTGGGAGTTGTGATGTGTCAGAAGAGGAAAACCAGCTGAATCTTTAGTACTGTAGAGAAGCAAAAGGGTGGTGACTGTAGGCAGGTGAAGGGACGTGTGTGTGAGTTCTGCTATTGGCAGCAGAGTTAGATTTTACAAATGATTCTGGTTTTGCCTTCCCACTGTTGCAGATTTAAGGTTATGCAAAGGAATATTTTAAAATACAAGTGTTGTAGCCAATTGATGTGTAAGGATGTTGGGTAATTTCTGCTAACGTATTTCTTGATCGTGCAATTTCCTGTGCTTTGATTTAGTGAATCTAATTAGCGTAATGACAGTTTTCCTCAGTAGCGATAAACTAATATTTGGTCTTCTGTCAATTTTCTCAGCTTACTTGAAAGATGAATTTTAGTAATATAAAAAAGGAAATACACTTTTTTAAAAAGATTTATACGTAAACAAGAAACTTTCACTGAGGTGAGATACTGTGGGAAGCAGGAAATTGGGCTGGATGGTGCAGAGGTACAAACCCACAGCCAATAGAGGGATGATACCAGGATGTGAAGGAGATGTAGGGGAAAAATTCTCTTAGTAGGATTTTGCTTTTACTTTATTCATTTCTAACGTGTTCATATTGGGCCATTGACTTTGTGTATACTGAATGCTCTGGGGAAAAGTCCTGCTATTAAAGATTTGCAACTAGTTTCTGTGATTTCTGATACTTAATGTCCTCCTATTATCTTTGACAGTATAGCTATCTTACTACGACCCTGAGACAGATTTCAGAATTCATTGTGCTTTAGGTTCCCGCTTTTTTTTTGCCCATGTTTTATTAATTTTTTTCTAAAAAGTCCAAAAAAGGCACAAACATGTATTTTTTGAAGGAGGAGTACTGTGCTCTGCAAAAGAAATATCGCCTTGTCTTAGACCCTAAGTAATTCTCAGATATCAGAAGCTGTGCAGCTGAGCAGTTGCTCAGCAGGACTTCAGGGTTAAAAAGCAGGAATTACCTGTGTCGCTGTGGTGCCTACATGTTTACTCTGGAGCCAAAATAAAAATGGACCCACAGAGTTTCTGGCCAGTTAAGGATCACAGCATTGTTGAGGTTGGAAGGGACCTCTTGAGATAGTCTTGTCCACCCCCTGCGCAAGGTTCTCTACATAGTTACACTTTTTTTGTAGATTAACATGTAAATTTAAACTCTCACCATAATTAATGCCTCTCTGCTCTGGCTTCTCAATGTTTAACCTTTGTTTACTTCATTGTTACATGTCTCCTGCTTCCCTTTGTGAGCTCCATGTCTTAAGGAAAGTATCCATACCGTGAAATAAAATGCAAACAAAAATCCCCTTGATGTTGCACCAGAACAGCTACCATTAGAACAGGAGATACTTAGTTCATTGTGGCCCCTGAAGCTCGATACCTTCTGAAAGCTGCTGATTTCAGGGTGCTTATCTTGTCTGAAAACTAAAATGCTGTTTAGAAGGTGTTTTGATGCAGGCTGTGCTTCCTTTGCTTCCCACCTTTATCATAAGATCCAAGCTTCAGCTGTGTTACTGACCCTCTTCATCCCTTGGCCAGGGTACAGTGTAAAACTTCTACTCTCAGGTCTCCTAACTCCTCAACAGCACAAATAGCTCAGTCCTTTTTTTTGTCCTGCTGGATGGGCAAGGCTCTGGATTGACTGGAGCTAATGTGTGTGCTCGTTTTGGCTGGCCAAAAAAGAGGTATGTGTGTTTTTGATTGACTGTGTGGCTGGCATGTCACCAAATGGCCTTGGTAGTTGCCTCTGGTGTAAGCATTGCCAAAACGCTTCCAAACTTTGCTAGCTAGTCTGAGGCTATGCATCTTGTCCGTTTGGACATGGAACGCTCTCTTGGAGGAATCAAAACTGTTGGTGTTTCTAAGTACGTAGTTTGGTGCAGTGTAGAAGCATAACCTGTGTAAAGCAATGATTTAAAAATACTGAGCAATGGAAAAGGAAAAGCATAGTACAAGTGAAAGTAATGCTGTATATTTTGTGTTATGCTTTTCTAATGCATCAAAGAAGGCAAAGAAACCTCAGTAGAACAGAAATTCGGAAGACTTGTAATAAGAGATGAGTGAGGAAAAAAGTTGTATTGAAACAAGATTTATAAAATCTGAAGGTACCCTGTATGATAATGGCACAACAGGAAACAGTCTAGCATAAAATGGTCTGTTTACACTTGGGGGAAAAAGTTTTGCTTTCTGTAAAGCACTCACGTGGAACTAGACAAAAAATAGTCTTTATCATACCTTTTTTTTGTATGTGGTAGTACGAATCTGCAAATACTTTTGTAGCCAAATTGCCATGTAGTGAATTATTTACTGTTCAGAACACTCAGTTGCTTAATTCTTCCTGGTGGAAGATGAACATTGCTATTGGTTTTTATATTGCATGTAACTTGCCTGTGGGAAAATTCTGTACCTTGATGTTACAGAAAATCTGCAAAAATACTTCAGTAAAAAGGATCAAGTTAAAAATTTTTGCAGTCAGATTGATCCTTGATACTCAGGAGACATAAGGTAGGAGTCTGATCGCTCGCAACTAGTGGAAGAGCTTGGCTTAGCCTTGGAAGAATTCAGTTCTCTCTCTTGACTTACGGGGTGTCTAGACTTGCACTACGTGCCAAAAAGTAGGTGAATTTGGGCTGTGTGTTTGGTTGTTCACTCCTTGGATGTTTCTGTTTGGTCAAATAAGCTATTACCCAAAATGGCACTTCTGTTACCTTAAGTGTTGCTTGTGAAATCCAGTCATATGATAGAGCACTTCGTTGAAATTATTGAATGAAACTTGGCATGTGTAATATGAAGAGAGTCCTATCTGTAGTTACCTTAGAAACTCAGATTTATTTAGAAAAGGGTTGTCCCTGCTTTATCAATTTAATTCAGGAAGATCTGCCCAATCATGCAGCTGGCTGGACCATGCTTTGAGTTGATGGTAATTTTGAATGACATTTAAATTCAAGCAACAGTGGAATTGGTGCATTTCACAGCTAGAAGGGTAAGAAAAAAGTTAGTATTCTGGGTTTGGGAACTCCTGGGATTCTAAAGCTGACAAATAACATATGCAGCCGGGAACCTGTGCAGCCAGAGTTCTGTAGGTAGTGGGTTTTTTTGAAGGTTGTTTTCTTCTCAGTTTTAACCATGTGGCGTAATGGTAATACTTCAAGTCTGTGTAGGCAATTTGGGAAACATTGTACCACTCTGAGTAGTAGCCATGAAAATAAATTCAACTGCTCTTAAACATTTCTAGATGAAGTTTCACTGGGTTTATAAGTATTTTGTATTTGAGTCTCAGGCACTTTTTAATACTTGCTTACCATTTTTTCCTTTTTGGAGGATTGGATAGCTTTGGTCAAAGCTGCTGCTGCAGCAGCAGCCAAGAACAAAGCAGGAAGTAAACCTAGAACCAGCGCAAACAGCAATAAAGATAAAGAGGACAGAAAATGGCTAAAAGTTCCTTCAAAAAAGGAAGAAACCTCAACCTCTGCAATCATTCAGGAAGTCCAAAAAGAGGAAGAGGAGCCTACATCTAGTGACACGTTTGGTAAAACCAGATTCTGTAGAAGATAAAATAGGTTTTTCTGTCATGTTGAAGTAGAATTCCTGGGTTTATTTTTGCAATTGTGTAGTAACTAGTATTTCCCAGGGAAGATGTCTCATTTGCTATTATGATAACACAGATCTGTTCAGAAACAGTTTTTATCAGATAGATCTAGTTTGGTCGGCATTTACTCCCTGCGCAAAACTTATACCTGGCTCTAAGAGCAACGCATAGGGGTTTTTTAAAGCCTTCATTGTACCCTCTGGTTCATATTCCTGCATCTTCTCTTACCTGTGAGATAATCCTTGATCTTCCAAAATGGTTGATACATCTGTATTCATGGATCTTTGAAACTATTTCTGGGTTAATAAGACTTTGTTTATCTTACTAGTTTTTAATATTGGGGTCTCATAATATTGAGTAAAAATTACAAGTCTTGAGGAAATTTGAATGTAATGCTTCAGTGTGCAGTAATAAATCTTCAGAATGTGTCATTTTCATTTTTAATTAAATTCTAAAGTTTCTTTACTGCAGTATTCTAATAGAAGTTCTGAAATACTCTAAGTATTTTTCATGGTGGTATGTATTTACTTTATGTGACTTTACTAGGTTTCTGTTCTGTTTAAAAGTAGGATTCCCTGTAGTGGATGTTCCAAAGATGGCCTTTGTGCAGGCAGAGAGCACGTTATCGCACAAGAGGAAAAGTAATCTAGGCAACTCATTTCAGGCAAAGAGAGCTCGTCTCAACAAGATCACTGGTAAAGTACCTTTTTTTTTATTGGTTATTGACTTATTTTTCCTTTTTAATGTAATGAAATATAGGTGCTTACATATAAGGTACTAAAGCAGATTGCCTAGTGTGTGATTTTCAGATATCACTACAGTCTTTCACATATTTGAAATTTTAAAGGAATCTATAAATGTTAATAATCTACCTTGTTCATAAATTCATAGAATGGTCTGAGATTTGACTTGGTCTTTTTAGTTTTTTAGGAAGGGAGCCATCCTGAATGGATAAATTTCTTGAGTATGTTTTAACACCAGCTGCATGATTTTCTCCATTATGATGTGAAATTTGGGGTTTGTACAACTTCTTAATGAGGTCACAAGTTACATAACTGCCACTGTAAATTAACACTTCTGTGAGCTGTGGAAAAATTGAATGTTTCGTCATAGTTTCTTTGAATGAATCATAGAACGGTTTGGGTTGGAAGGGACATTAAAGATCATTCAGTTCCAGCCCACCAGCCATGGGCAGGGACACCTTCCACTAGTTTGTAATAAAGTAAAACTGTTGCTGAAGTGACTTTGTCATTTAAAAGTATGCAAGCCTGGCTGCAAAGAAATGAAGACCTGAAAGACTTTTTCCCCGTAGCTACGGCATTAACTTGCTACATTTATTACTCAAAGGTATTAATGGAAAACAAGTATGCAGCTACAGAATACCTGATATACAGCATGGGTGGAATAATAAGACCAATTATCTAAAAGCTGCAAAATGTGTTTTATTACAGAATTTAAGAGAATGTTAATTAACTTTACTTAACTGAGAACATTATTTCAGTTTGTATACCTCCTCCCCCATGCCTCCCAATAATCAAATTGTGTTGCCAGCCCTGATCCTATCAATATTTAGAACGAGGTAATACGTTTGTACCTGTGCTGGGAAAGTATTAGCTGCATTTGAAAAGCTGGGTGGAAAACAGTTGTGAAGTCCTCCCCTTAGTATAGAGGCCCTTGGACAGGGGGTAGGATTCCACTCATTCTAGTAAATAATGTTGTGTGTGAGTTCTGGCAAACTTTTCTGTTAAGATGAGTGGGTTTCTGTTTGTCTCTGTAGTAGATAGGGTGTAGTCATTTGTATAGGAAGTCCTACTCATTTCTATAAGATAAAAATAACCTGGTTTATTAAACATACTTGTTTTGGTTGATCCAACTTTCATAGGTCAGCAGTGGAGGATGTTTAGTCAGTTTTCTTATGAAAGAAGTGTGGTTTTGTTTCAGTCTCTCAATCAGTACTTCAGTCTGAAGGAAAAAATAAATGAAATGGGCCAGTGTGGAACATGATATGAAGGAAGCAGTCTTCCAAAAATCCATCTTTTCTCTCTGGGATTTTCTTTCCTGGAAGGCTTCTCACTTGGTACCAAGTGTAGTTAACAGATCTCTGGTTTATCAGCTTTATTTCTGCTCTCCTTTGCCCATACTGCATACATCTTCAGTTAAGTCCCAATTTAATTGTTGCCGTGAGCAGTAGAAGGTTTTCTGTACTAGTGATACATATTTACAGAGCCCTGTGAAGTTCTTTCCAATAGCAGTTAGTAGCAGAAGATACCACAACCAGTTGAAAAACCTGTTGCTCTAGAACTTAGTTTTCTGTGGTGGTTGATAGCTTCTCCTTTTCTGAGGACCTTTGAGGATAAAAGCAATCAGTTGGGCTCATAGACTGAACTGGATCATCAGAAAACATAATGTTGCAGCCGTTGACTTCGTTATCATTCTAAAACCAGTGTGTCTCTCTCTCCGTGAAAACATACACTGCTGGCAGAGACTGTGTTACCTTTCAGTGACAGTGAATTAAACCTTTAATTACCAGATGAAATTTGTCATTCTTGGTAGTTACTTTCTGTAACTCTTCTCAGATTAACACATTTCTGCAACTCCCTACTGTAGCAGGTTCTTTTATTGTTGCATATAATGGAGTATTTTGAAAATGTAACTGATGACGATCAAACTTTGTTTGCCACGTGCTTATTTCTTACGCTTGAAATACTTGTAAATTGTCATTTCTGTCTCCGGGGTGAGCTTTTGGATGTGAAGGAAGGTTGGGAATCATGCTGGTGTACCCCTCTGGCTACAGAAGAATCAGCATTGTAGCTGTTAGGAAAACTTTCGTTTTACCAAGTGTCTTACGTCTGTATGGGGAAATCAACCACGTGATTTGCTCTGAGGTGGCTGTCCGAAGGGTACTGTTTTCTGGTTTTCAATTCAGCATTCAGTATTTGTTGTGGCAGGTTCTCCTTGTCTTCTACAACGGCCACAGCTGCATCTGGGGTTCTTTGCTCTCTGTTCAACAAAATAAAGTTGCTTCCTTGGCCCCTTTTTTGCTACTGCCACTGGGGGAAATTAGCCAAAGGTGAAGGATGTCTCCTGCAAAACATGTATTAATGTTGTCTTCCAGTTATTGCTTCTGGGATGCTTGCTTCCACATCTCCTGCTGCAGTCTTGATACCTAAAGAAACATGTAACATCTACAGCACGCTTACAGAATACAAAACCCTTGTGGTTCACAGTGCCACCCCGTGCTTTTGATTTGTTGCATCCTGTTACTGATTGGATGGTGAGCCTGTAGTCCTGCTGCTGTAGTAGCTTATGGGATTGTTTTGCCTTTCTAAAGGCATGGTAACTGATAAAAAAGATAATTAATGGGATCGAGACGAAGGAAATAAGAAGGGTTATATATTCAAAGGTCTGATGGAGTCTGTGCTGGTTTTATGGCTTTGCTTTCTGAGCCCTGAGAATCTAGCTAGAAATAAAAAGCATAGAATCATTGAATGGTTTGTCTTGGAAGGGACACTTAAAGATAGCTAGTCTGGCCCCCCTGCTGTGGGTAGGGACATCTTCCCCTAGGTCAGGCTGTTTGAGGTCTTTTCTAGACTGACCTTGAACATTGCCAATGGTGGGGCATCCACAGCTCCTCTGGACAGCCTGTGGTTTGTAGAACCACAAAAACTGCTTTACAGACTGTGGCTTGTTGTTTAGTCTTTAAAACTCTACTTCACTGAATTTTGAAAATTATTTTATGCTTTTTATTGTAGATGTGTGGTTGTCAATATTAACAACTGCTAATTTTGCAACTTGATTTAAACAGGATAATTTAAGTCAAAGGTTTATTTAAGTTGATGAAACATAAATTGTTTATGACACCTAATGCAGAATGAAAATCTTACCTGATAAATTTATTTATACTAATATAATAGGACTAAGTAAGTGTTTTTGCTTCTAAGTTAGCCCATCTAACTGTAAAATAATTAGTTTACACCCGTTGTTATGTGATGTTCAGAAAAAGTTTATTTAAAACCTAACTATTTTCCATTTAAACTGAGGCATAACTTAATCTGAAAAAAAGCACCTAGTATTTAGTGTGGAATGCTGAAATATGATAGCTCTCTAGCAAAATGCCACACTGGTTTTTGTGTGCATGTGTTTTGTTGTTTGGTTTGGTTTTTTTTTAATGTCCTAAATGCTTCCTGAGAGCCCAGGCTTTACTAACTTCAAATTCCTTGGGCATTGTGCATTGTAAATTAAGCACATCTAATTTTTCATAGAACTCAATAGGAATTTCCTGTGGATCTGTCAGCTCAAGTTATTTTTGAGATTTTAAACTCTCCACTCCCAATATTGACATTCCCAGGACTTACAATAGTAACTTTTGTTCAGATTTGTGGTTTTTCAGGTTTTAACAGTTCTGCTTTGTCTTAGGACAGAAAGAACTTTTTCTTTCTCTCAATACTTAGGTAATTGAAGTTACTGCGTGAAGCAGAACTAATAGCAGAAGCTATTGCTATATGCTTAGCTAACAAAAAGCTTCCTCCTATTTATGTTGCCTTGTCTTTTACAGTTGATTTTTTTAATAGTAGTCATATTGTATCATAGAATGGTTTGGGTTGGAAGGGACCTTAAAGACCATCTAGTTCCAACCCCCCTGCCATGGACACAGACACCTTCCACTAGGCCAGGTTGCTCAAAGCATCATACAGC